TCTAGGATACTGGAAGCAGATGGAGGTGATATAATTATAAATATATTTTGGATTGATGGTAAAATGAAAGTAGATTATATAGATTTCGAAGATGTAATATGTTTCGACACTACGTATAGAAATAATAGAATGTTATTTGTTGGTGTTAATCATCAAAAGCAAATAATATTTTTCAGTGCAACACTGTTATATGACGAGACTATTCTCTCGTTGCATAGTTGTTTGATATTTTTGTTGGAATTATGTACGAGAGAAAACCGATTACAATGTTGACATATCAAGACCAAGCTATGATAAATGTGTTGGTTTTGAGGTGGCATAAGACTCATCACATATTACATATTAGACAAAAATAGTGCAATATATTTGAGTTTTAATTATGAAATATATATATATATATAAATACTTTGTAGTAGAATATCTTTATTTCTAATCTATTCAATTTTGCAGGTTATATATTTGACATATGTATTAAAATGTTGTCATACATTTGCATAGTATTTTTGTTGAGCATAAAAGCTTTGCTCATAATTTTAGTATATGTATATACGATCTTGACGAATAGGGTGATTTTTTGCATAAATGAAATAAAATACTGGTGATATATAATTTGGTGGGAAATAACTCATTGAGAAGGTTGTTCAAAGTGAAAGAAAATTAATTTTGGTATATGACCTTCAGTTCTTTTGTGTTAATATTACCATGACACAAGGCAATGAGAGTATTAATAAAGTTATAAAAAAATATGTAATTCACAAGAACAATTTACGCTTGTTTTCCTAAAAGTTTAAAATATTGTTAAATTTCTTTCATACGAACAATTGGAAGCTAATTTCAAAGCAAATACTAGTACATATGTGTTTTTAATGACCGTTCAACTCCTGATGTTGCGAATTTGTATACCCAAAAAGTTTTTAGAATATTCCAAAAATGAATTATGAAAAGAGTTGTTAGTGGTAAAAAACTATTATATAATGGCAGGCTAGTTATCTTAGAAGATCGAAGTATCATATTTTTAAATACGATCCATCAGACAAGACATTTTTTTGCAATTGCAAACAAATTAATTTTTTTTGGAATATTATGTTTTTATGGATTGAAAATCTTTATAAAAAAAATAATTTTTTAAAGATTTTAGATTAATGTATAATGAAGAGGTGGACAAAAATATGCGAAGGTAGAGGATTTGCTAAGTGCAACGATGTTTTGAAAATTCTAGATTAATGTATAATGAAAAGTTAACAAAAAGATGCAAAAGTAGAGTATTTGTTAAGTGGAATACACGCGGAGATCAGAAAGTACAAAATATTGTTTAAGTTTTTATTATTTGCAATTTTCAAATCAAAATTAAAACCTACAAAATATATATATATATATATATATGTGAATGTAAGGTTTATAGTCATTGTGTTGGGCAACTTAGATAGAAAAATAATGTTGATTGCAAACATATATAACAAAATATATAAGAAATTGAATATTGATAAATTAAAAATTAATATATACATGGCGAATAAAATATTGATAAATTAAAAATAAATAGATACAGGCGTGATGCGATTGGCCGGTGCGGAAGGGGTAGGAGCTGCCGGGGCTATTGACCTGAGGCCTTTAAGACTAATAACTCATTCATACCATCTAATAAATTAATTGATTATTTAATCGTAAGAAAGTAATACTTCCCCCTTTCCACATAATTTGTTCATATTTTATATTTTGATCTGTCCCACGTAATTTGTTATTTTTATTTTTGGAAATATAATTATGCACTTTAATCACATTTTAAATTTTAAATTTTATAATTTTTTTAATTTTAATTAAATTATTTACTTATCTTAATCTTAATTTTAATCTATAATTATTTTTACTAATACATTTTTTAATTATTTACTAATTATACTTTATCTAAATTTTCGTATCTACAATAATAGTCTCATATTTTCTGGGACGGAGGGAGTAAATATTCAAAATTTGAGTGTGTTTGTTTTGTGAAAATAGAAAAAATACTCTATAATACTTTCTTCATCTCAAATATAGTCCAATATTTATTTTCGGCACGAGAATTTAGGTGAATAGAATTAAATAAAATAATTTGGGATTGATTAGGTGTTGCGCTGAGAAAAAATGTATATTTATATTTTATTTGCATGATGTGGTGGGATAAATTGTGATGTAGAAATTAAATATATTTAATTATTTTTTATCTTAAAAATATTGCAAGTGTTTGGAAATGAGTAGAAAATACAATTTCATATTTACAAAAAGAGTCAATATTCAATACAAAATACTATTATTATTTATACTATCGATATAACTTTTTATATTTCACCTAAAAAAAATACTTTAAACTAAAATACGATCAAGACAAATTGAGATAGGTTGGAAATGATATGAGTAAGGAAGTTTTTTTTCACAATTATTATTTTTATTAATAAATATTGCATTCAATAATTTAAATTGTTTTTTTTTTTTTAAAGAAAAACCTTATTTATTAGTTTTTTTAAAAAAATCAATATATATATTATTGAAACGTGACTTAGGGTTTAGGGTGTTTTGAGGTGCTTATAAATAGATAGCTATGGTTCCTAGTCGTATAACATAACTGTAAATCTCTAAATCAGTATAATAAAATCTCTCCGATTTCTGCCCGTGAACGTAAGTTGGCACACCGTCACCAAACCACGTAAAACTTCTGTGTTTTTTATTTATTTTATTTTTTGTTTTCTCATAATATATATATATATATATATATATGCAATCCATAAGTTGCCCTGAATCATAACACAAATGCAGAAATGGATCGGATGTCATTATGACCATCACAATTTGTAATTATTTTTACTTATTTACCTTACCTTCAATCACGTGTCTCTCTCTTTAAAGTATCATTTCTTTAATTTATTTCATTCTTATACCTTTTTATTAAATATATATACATATATATATATTTTTAAATGATATATCAAATAAAGCATAATTGTTTGTTTTGTTAATTGAGCAAAGATCACTCACCATTGTGTCTACTAAATTCAAATTTTAATTTCAAACATAAAAAAAAAAAAGAAATTTCTCAATTCAATTGTTATAACAAAAAAAATAAAAATAAAAATGAATATATCATATGACTTTTTAAAAATAATAGAACTGAATCGAGACAACTCAAAAGCTGAGGAAATAATATTACTTTCTCTCCAAATTCATAGCATAGATAGTGTGTGTAATTATAGGGGCTTTTCTAGATAAGTTATAAATATAATTCTCCATATTTTTATTATTAGTTATGGGTAATTTATTTAGCGTTTGATTGGGTTTTATTGGGATTGGCCAACTCAACACCTGATATTGTTCACTTTGGGTTGAGGTCGCACGGACGCTTTGGGTTGAGCCCGCACGGATTTCTGTCTATCTTGCACTGTCTATCACAGAGGGATCCGCTGTCTGACCACCTCAATCGGGACCGACCCATCCGCAGGTCACAAGGGCAAGCCCACCACCACAACCAATGTCCAATGCCACCCAGTCCACTTCACCATCTAACCGGGCTTTGATACCACTGTTGGGACTGAGTCAACTCAACACTAGTATGATATTGTCCACTTTGGGCTAAGCTCGCACGGATTTGTTTTTGGATATTCTCCAAAATGTCTCATACTAGTGGGGTTCACTTCGGACTTATAAGGTGTGTAATTTTCTTCACAATTTCTAACATGGGACTTGGGTTTGCATCCCAACAGGTTTAACCCTAAATCAAAATAAACATATGATGTTCAATAAAATTATACTTATTTTCTTCGAAATACTATTTAAACAAAAAATTAAATAAACATTTTATTATAAATAAATTTCAAACTACAAATGAGAATTAGGATGAAGTAATACAATTAATTAGAATAACAGAGGTTGTTAGATCAGCTGTGGAGATTGAGACATGATTAATTAGTATTTGTTAAGGTCAGATATATGTTGTTTCAAATTATGTTTAATTATAATTATTTGTCAAGGTCAGATGTTTCATTTAATATTTATGTTAGCTAATTATAATTATATGCATTTTTATTTTTTATTTTTATTTTTAAAACATTAGAGGGTGTGTTTTTTTGATGAGTTTAAAAAAAAAAATGGTTTGGGATCGGTAAGAAAATAATGTTTGAAGGGATGTTTCATGAGAGAAAAAATATAATTTTTTCGGAAAGCGCATAATCCAAATAGTAAAATCCGAAGAAACTTTGCTAGTACGTCACGATTGATATCATCACAAAATATATGGTAACACACCACAAATAGATAACATGAACTTAACAATGTTAAACCTTCAACCGTCTTTAGGTCTTACCTATCATATATAATTCGTATAGTGTGACTTGCTTTATCGTGTTTACAGACTATTAATTTCGATCGAAAATTTACCGGAGTGCACTTGTCAAGTAATGATTGTGAATTCCTACATTACGAAAAAAACAAAAAATATAATTAATAGTAATAATAATTTACATAATACATATTTAATTTAATTTAAACCATATGCAAAGGAGTAAATGGTCATTTGATTAGCCACCATCAACACTTCAAATATCCCTTTTTCAAAACTAAATAAATTAATCAAATTAAGAAATATTAAATAATCATTTACTAAGCTTTAGATAAAGAAAATTCACCAACAAGTTCCATGTATTTGGCAAGACCAAACATCATACAAATATTATTATATTGTCATTGACATGATAATATATACATACATATATACATATATGTATGTATGTATAAATTATTAAAGTGTGTATAATGGGCATAGTTAAAATTACTGAAAAAGCAAAGATGCACACACATCACTTCACTCTGTGTGTGTCTCTCACTCTTATCTGATCTGAGAGAGAGTGAGATTGATGAATGGGAATGATTCCTGGCAAAGCAAAAGTAGAGTGAGAAAGAGAGAGAGAGAGAGAAAAAGAGTTTAGTAAAGAAAGCATAATACTAGTAATAAAAAACAGAAAAGAAAGCCATTGCCTACCTATCTTTCACACCATTAAAGTTTGATAATTCCTTCTTCCATTGATCCATTCATTCCTTTCTCTGTCCCCTCTTTCTCGCTCTAACTTTCTCTCTCCAACAAATGACCATCCCAAACACCCTTTTCTCTCCATCTCCATTTCATACTGATTATCACTTCTCCCTGTCCACCCTCCTTTGTTCATGCAAGATCCCAACAACTCACCCACAAGGTATTCTCTCACTCTACTCTCTCTCTCTCATACACACACTGTGTGGAAAAATGGTGTGAGTGGTAATGGTGATGTGCTTGAAAACTTCTTGTTAGTGAGAGAAAATTAGTATAAATTTGGTAAGAAATTAATGATATGTATGGTTTCTTTGAATTTGTTTGATATATATATGATACTGATTTCACATTTGTGTTTAGGGTTCTTACAATTTTGTTCATGCCCTTTAATTATCTTTTCTCTCATATATATATATATATATATATATTAAGCAATTAGTCAATAGTTAGCTGGCCTCATGCATGACTTCAGAAAGGGAATTATTCCATTGTTAAGTTGTATTATAGAGATATATAAATATATATATATATAATATTTGTGTGTGGAGAATATATATCTTTTGTGACAATAACACAATAAATTATAAACATTTCTCAAAAAATTCTTGTAGAAAATAAATATACAAAATTATCCCTTCCATTCTAAAAACCATGGAAAATAATCTCTTATAGTAAATTTAAATCAATGAATGAATGAATAACAACAAATAGAAGAAGACCGTATTTGCATATTTAAATTTCACATTTTTTTTTCTAGAACAATAATTTAATTCAACTTTAATGCTCTCTTTACATACATATTTTTTAAAAATTTGATACTATTCAACAATATTTTTTTCTTTTATTTTTTTTAAAAAAATTACATCAGATACATAATTTCTCTCACAAAACCTCAAATCAATCCCAAACTTTTTACTATTTCAAAATTTTTCAATCACATTAAATTATTTTCACTATGAATATGTGCATTGCATAATAATAAAATGGTTTTGTAACATGTTCTATGTCATATATATATATATATATATATATGTATATGTAGGAAGCCTTGGTACCAAAGAGCAATTGAAATGGCCACAATGTGGAAGGCCCTTCAAAAGTCACCCAACAATATTCCCTCCAAAAACCAAACATTTTTTTCAAAAACAATCCCCAAAACAACAAATGACATCCCCACAACAAACCCTAACAAGGGCAAGCTAAGAAAATGCACATCCATGAGGGTCGCCACGACGTTTACCCGCGTTTGTCTATGCGCGCCAATCTCCTCCTACACCGAGGTCTTCCAAGCCGATGTCCCTCCAAGGAGGAGCTATAGCTACCCGAGATCAAAGGCGCCATTCCACGCCTCTCAAGAGATAAGAAGCACGCCGAGCGCAAGAATGAGCATCGAGGGGAGAAAGATATTCCGCGGGAAATCACTAACCGATGACGTCTTGATGAGGAGATTTGTGATCGAAGAAGAGGCAATGATGCAAGTTAGGAGAAGAAATGAGATGGAAATTATTCGAAGAAGAAGTTCTATGAGGAGGAGAAAACTTGGTCCTAGTCCTTTGAGTAGAATGGCCATGGTTGAAGAGGAATGACAACATTGATTCATTGTTGCAATTATATATATAGTTTACTATTAATTTGTTTTCTAAAGTTGTGACAATTTTATGATTGTTATATTTTCTACTTTTTGAATTGTGTGTGCTTTTAATGGGATTGATGGTTTTAGAAAGCTTTGAATCGATTTTTCCTCTATGTGGATTAATTGTCCTTCGAAGATAAATGATATTGACATCTTGTTGAGTTATAATTTTTAAAGAAGTGGTTAAGTATTTAAGGGGAAATAGCAATTTTTATCTTTATGCCTGTCTAATAGTTTTCTAATTCATTTTCTATTACTCCCTTCATCATTCAATTGTGTGCTTATTTGACCGGACACGAGTTTTTTGATGTAATATAAATAGAGATTGATTTGATGTTTTGAACGTAAAATAAATTTATAATATAATATAGAAAAACAATAATTACTTGATGTGATATTTTTTAGAGAAAAAAAAACTGAATAATAAAAATCTGTGCAAAATCTACAAGAAAACACAACTTTGGAGTATGTTTAATTGGTGGTTTTTTTAAGGAATAAATAATTAAATTTTTATTTAAATAGTAACTTGAATATGATATATATTTTTTATATATAAAAAGTAAAATATTTTTATAATAAATAATGTGGTTAATAGTGAAATAAATAAAAATAATTACAAATAAACACACTCTAAAATGTTTTTTTTTTCAAAAAAATGGTAACATTGGAAAAAAAAAATGCAAAAGATAGTCTTCTTGAATAACATGAAGAAATTTGAGAAACTCTGAAATAATGAGTGGAAATAATAAACAGAAAGTACAAGAATAGTTTTAAAATTTTCTTTATATTATTATTTAAAAAATCTCATTCTCCCTAAATTTCAATATAATTGAATTTTTTTTATTGGTTATATGTTATAAAAAATAATATTTAATTAGCTAATAATAATAAATTGTAATATTATTTTATTATTTTTATGTAATTAATGATATTATAGTTTTAAAATAAAATTAATATATATATATATAATTAAAAAATTAAAATATATATTTTTTAAATATTTTAAAATTATATTGTAATAAAAAAAATATAGGCAATACAAATACCATTTTGTAAAATAAAATTTTTAATAATACAAGTAAATAAAAAAATATTTTTATTTATTTATAACTAAAATAGATTAATCTTATAAAGATGTAAAGTTTTAAATGTAGATAAATATTTTTTTTATGAGAAAGAGAAAAATGAAAGGATTTTGAGTTGTTATATATAATTTATAACGTTATATATGTTATTTAGTTAATTAAGTTGATTTCTATTTGTTAACTATATTTTGATTTAGTATATTTTATTCAAAATAGAAAAACGTCAATTGTTATACGACAAACAAAAATGAAAAAATATCTATTGTTATGGAACAAAGTATTTTTATAATAAAACTAATTATCTATATATTATGTTTTTCAGATCAGTCTCTAATCCCTTTGTTATGATATTTTTGAGATTTTTCTGATTTTTTTATTTCTTTTTGTTTTACAGTTTTTTATCATGATAGTAGGGTATTTAAAATCATATAAAACCTCCGTCCCATAACAAAGTATATATTTTTCCATTTTAGTTCGTCACATAACAAAGTATCTATTTTTTTTTTAATAACTGTACTATCTACCTAACATTACAAATACCCTTACAACTTACAATATATTACACAAATGTCATTACCTTTATATCACATATACTAATAAGATTATTTTAGTCATTTCTACTTTATTCCTACTATATCCCAATATAATACTAATATTTCTAAAACTACGTTAAAAAAGCAAATGGATATTTAGTTCCGGGATGGAGGAAGTAATTTTTACTGTTTATTTTATAGTGTTAGTGGATATATATACACTTTTTAAATTTTATAAAGTTTAATTTTAATTTTTCTTTTTTTTTTTAACTCATATTCTCATTTCTTTTGCATATTTCTCAACAAATTTTACTTTTATTTTTATTTTGATTTAAGAAAAAAAAAAGATGAAGATACAGAAGATTGAAGGTTCACCGTTTTGATTTTCTTTTTTGAAGTTAAAAAAAAATTATTAATTCTATATATTATATTTTATAATTATTTTGTTTGATCTGTATTGATTTTAGTGACAATTTCGGAAGCATTCAAATCTCATATTGTATCTATATTGTATAAATAATTTAATATGATATTTATTTATATTTTGCAAGATCTTATTTATTTTATAGTTATTTTTTTCTTGGTAAACTTAATAATATTTGTAATTGATAATTTCTAGATTATTTATATATTATTTTCTATTCATATATTAATTTTTTTTTCATGAATTTTGTATCTATCGCCTTTCAAAAGATATTGAATTCAATAAGTATTAAAATATACTCCCTCCGTCCCGACAAAGATGCAACATTTTATTTGGACAAGAGAATTAATGTAGTATAAATTAGCTATTTAAATAGTGAGTATTATTATTTAATTATTAAAACAAATTTAAAATGTGTTTGAATGTTTTAAACATTATATATCTCAATAATATATATATAAATACTATTTTTTAGAGAATAAAATTTTATATTACAAATAAAAAAATTATTTATTTATTTATCATTACCAAAAATTATTTTTTTTAAAAATGGAGAGTTTTAAAGGTAAATAAAATATTTGTTAATTGGAAAGACATATAGAAATAAAGGATTTTGAGGGGGTCATACGTGTAAAATATTATAAATTTAAGATTGATAAATTTACTAAAAATAAAAAAATAGATCATATATGAGGAACGAATGATTGATTTGTATTTAATATGTAAATTTATTGTTAATTTTTATCTATCACGTATATCATATGCAATTAATATATATTTGAATAATTTTTCAAAAAATTTAGTCAACTTTTTATTTATAAGTTAATGTATAATTTTATTTTTAAAAAAAATAATAAGTTTGAATAATTATAGTTGATATTTCTGTGGCTATATATATTAATTATTGAATTACATTATTTTTTGCTTATTTATTAAATTGGTAATAAAAAATTAAGATAAATAATTATATATTAATTTTTAAAAAAATAAATTAAAAGTTAGTTGTTAAAACAAATTATCTATTTGCTTTAGTAGTTATTCTAATTTGTATAAATAATTTAAGTATTTCATATATTTTTTTATATAATAATTATATTAAAATTTGTTACATAATTATTGTACAAATATACTAACTTTATAATTAATTTTTTTAATTTATAATTTTAATTTTTTTTATTTTTTATATTTTATATGAATGTTAAGTTTTCCGTATTATTGGACAAATTGACCATATTGATGTTCAAAATATTTGAAGTGAAACTAATTTTACAAAGATTGTATATTTATATAGCTATAAATATATTATAATTTTTTAGTTATATTTTATATACAATATTTAGTGTAGATATAAGACTAATTAGACAATAAAAGGCAATACCGTAAGTATGAAATTTAAAATTGTCACACAAACAATTTCAATTTATCTTTCGATGTCAACTATTCTATTTAAGAAATTTACAAAATAAGACATATTTTACACATATAAATATAAATATATATTATTTTATTATTAATTATTTTAGCATACTAATATATTTTTTAAATATATAACAGGAAATGATATATAATTACTACGAGTGTTTATTAACACTTTTATAGATTGTATTTATATATGTATACATAAATAATTATATCTTTATTGATACAATAAAAAGAATTCGTTACATGGTAAATTTAGTATGAATTGTTGAAATCTTAAAAATATTTGTATCATTCTATAAGATATTTACCAATATAATTAATTATTTATTTAATATTATTTTAACAATTTATACGAACCATGCATTGCACGGATTTACACCTAGTAATATATAAATATAAATCAATCTATTTATAGTTACAAACATATAGGAATAGCCTATTTTGGTGGTGGTGGATAAATTGCATTATTGCAAATATAAATGCATACAGTATAATTAGGAATTGCGAATTTGTTTTTTTTTGTGGTTTTCAGGCGTAAGATGCGGTGAATTCTGTTGACAATATACAAAATAATATTTTATATTTAATTATTGATTTTTTTATAAATAAATAAAATATTATATATATTATATTAATAGGTATATATTTTATTTTTTTTAACAGTATTTATAGATAATTGTTTTATTTAAAAATGCTAAGTGAACACACTATCATACTTTGATCTTGTATTTAAAACTCCAACTATCATAAAATATAAGTGTGTGTAATAATAGCCCGTTGGTTAGGCCCACTATGCCAAAAGCGAGAGAAATCTTATTCATCTCTTTTCTTTTTCATCCATGTCGCCACACCGGGGATATGTAATGTAACAAAAAGGATCCTATTCAACTTGTTCAGATCAAAAAAAAATAAGCTTATGAGTTTGGTCTTACTTTGAAAGAAGACTTCATTCTCCAAATTTCACTCAAACGTAGCTTCTTGCCTTTTGTTTTAGGTACCAAACAATATCACGTTCACTCATTTTTGAATTGGAAATATAACTCATTTTTGAATTGGAAATATAATTATTGTAGTCGAGAATTTCATACAATTGATCTTTAGAGCTCATTTCAAGGTATGATAAATTTTGAGTTAAACGGTATTATCTGCTTATGCTTGTTTTCACTTAATTCTTGTACATAGTACATGAGATTGAATTTCTTTACCAACAAAATTTAAAGTTGTTTTATTTTCTTGGTTATGTCTCTTCAACCTATGTGCATTGTTAGTAAACTCTGTGTTTTGTTTATTTGATAAGTGCATACTGCACTTTAGGTAGTTTGTTGATATGTGAATTTGTGTTTGATTTTTTTTTAAAAAAAATTGTATTATGTTGCATATGCTCATATATTTTTATTTTCATTTTATATGAATTGTGTGTCAAAGTGAATTATCTATTTTTTGTCTACTTATAGCATGTTTGTGTTATAATTTTTAGTAAACAAATTTTGTTATTTTTCATATAAAATTCCTTCAAAATATTGAAAGATTATTTTCTAAAAAATGGTAGGAAAATCAGCAATTGTTGGAACATGCTAATTGGATTCTTTTAAATGAAAATTAGATTTTTCTATTGTAAGCAAAATTCAAAAGAGATGATTTATATTGAGAGTCTAATAAATAGATTGGAAATAAAGATAGTGATGTAATCTACTTAAGAGGGTAA